TTTTTGGTTTTTTTTGGTTTGGTTTTTTTTTTTTGGCTTTTTTTTTTTTTTTTTTTAAATTTTTTTTTGTTGTTTTTTTGGGGGGGGACGGCACCGATTCTGCCCACCCCCCTCCCCGTACCCGCCACGTCAGGCCAATTCGAGTAACCGCCAGCCTAGAAACTGCTTGTGACAGCATTTATCCGTCCCCTGCCTCTCCTGCCCCACTTCCCTCGCCCCGGAGAACTCTCCACCTTGGCTCTCTGACTTCCTGGCTAGTTGAAATCTGTCTGTCCCTGGGTGGCTGTCCGATGGTTGTTAATAGGACTGTTTTCCTCCTTTTGTAGGCCTATACCATTCAAGGACAGTATGCCATTCCACAGCCAGATGTAAGTTTTTATTTACAACTTCTTGTCTTGAAATCCACCCTTTTCCTCCCCCCCTTCCAAAATTTTCTCCGTGCTTTCTCCACTCGAGCTGCTCAGCTTGGGCTGAATGCTCGATCTGATCCGAGCCCCCCCCCAAAAAAACTCGCCCCCCTCAGTTGGCCTTCCTGCAGCCAGCTTCACCCGGCCTCAGAGCTCTCCCTGGATCCTCCCCCCACCTCCTCTCTGACACTTCCCTGCTCCTGTTATATTTTTTTTCCAAACCCACCTCTCCCTGGCTTGGCATTTCACACCAGCTCCGGCTTTTCCCTTGCCCCCACCCCCTTGCTCCTCCTCCCTGAATTCGGCACGAGAACACCCCCCCCAGCACACGGTGGCTCTGTCACGGTGGCTCTCCCGGGGCAGGGGACAGCTGGCCCAACGAGTGGGCGCAGGTGGCAGTCGGGGAGGGGGTTGGATCCGGCCCATCCCAGGCTGCTGCCAGCCTGGTGGGTCCGTTCGGGAGAGGAGGGACCATCCCGGCAGCGGCCGCCTCTCCCGGTGCTGTCGGACACCTCCATCCTCTGGCACCCATCCTCATCCCGTAGGGGCTGGTCTCTGCTCCTGGCACCTTAGAGCAGTGAGGGGGGGTCTGACGCGCCAGGCCAGGGGGGAGAGGGGCTAGAAGGAAACTGGGCTGGAAGAGCTACTCCTTTGGCGGAGCCGAGCCGCGCTCTGTCCCCGTTCCCTGCCGCTCCCCCGCAGTGCTGCGAGCACCTGCTCCCTCCCGCTCCTCTCTGCTTCTCTTCCTGAGCTCCTCCAGACCTCGCTGCACCGAGGGGTGGGCGCAGCCCCCAGCCCACCTTGGCCTCCGTGCGGAGAGGGCCGGGCCGGGCGCGGAGGGGCCGGGGCGGCGGGGCCGGTGTCCGCGCGGGCGCGCGTGCGGGGTGAGTCCTGGCCCCCCCTGGCCTCGGGAAATGGCTAACGCCAGCCTTTTCTCTTTTCTCTCTCTTTTCCCTCCTCTAGCTGACCAAGCTGCACCAGTTGGCAATGCAACAGTCACACTTTCCAATGTCTCATGGCAACACTGGATTCAGTGGTATGGAAACTCCTTCTCTCCGTGTGCGCTAGCGCGGGCCGGAGCCCAGCCCAGGCTGCCCCCGGCTCCTCCATGGGGCCGCGCTCGCGCTCAAAAACCTAAACCCAAACGTTCCCCCGAGCTGGGCCCGGCCAGGTAACGATTGTTGTGATGTCTCTGGGGGCTGCAGGGGTAGGGACGAGCCGAGCCCGGCACAGGCAGGGCCTCCATCCGTGCTGCTTCCCTCCCTCATCCCCCCCGTACTCTGCCAACGCACTGGGAGACCCCCGGCCTGCAGCACCCGCTCTCTCCCCTCCGGCTACTCCAGGCCTGAGCAGGCAACTGCTGAGTTGTACCAAATTTGCTTTAGATTTGCTAAGATGGCTAAAAAAAAAAAAAAAGAAAGTGGAAAAAAAAAATACCCGTTTGGGGCTCTAAACTTGAGACAGCCAAACTCATTGTGACTTGTATCTTAACAGGCATTGACTCCAGCTCTCCAGAGGTGAAAGGCTATTGGGGTAATGATCCAAACACACAATCTGTAGTTACTCTGTTGTGTATTGATGCTGCCTGGGGTCTCGTTCTCCCTGATAGGTGCTGCCCACCTTTGTGCCTGGAACGGGGGGGAAAGAGGGTTGAGGGGAGCCCTAGAAGGGCTGGAGTTGCAGCCTGACTCAGCTGTCCATGCCCTGGAGCTCAGCTGGATAGTAGAGAGCAGCAAGATTGGGCAGAAGCTCAGCTGTCCCAGTGAGCTGTGGGCCCTGAGCTTCCCCCCCACCCCAAAAAAAACCACACTGAGAGGAGCAACCCCCAGCCAAGGAGGTGCTGGAGCTGTCAGGAGCCGAAGGTGTGTGGGGACAGCACAATGTCACCTGCTGTGTCCCCAGAGTGCTGCCTGCCCCTCACCCAGAGCCTCAGGATGAGGTCTCGAGGCTCCCACCACTCCCTCTAGCAGGGAGCGAGCTGGGAATGGGGGGAAAGTGAGAAAACATGGAAAAAATGCACCTGGCACACACGCTTGGCCCCGTGCGAGGCATGAGTGGCCTTGCAGCACTGGCTGGCATAGCACTGCCCTGCCGGGCTGCAGCGAGGAGGAGGAGGAAGGAGGGGTGATGTAGCCCTTGGAGGTTGGTACTGGAGTGGGAGCAGAGCTGAGTGCCCGGCTGGAGCCCCCCAGTGCCAGCACCCTGCTCCTGGATGGAGGACCCTGCGGCGACACACGGGGAGGGGACAAGGAGGGGAGAAATCGGGGGGTGAGTGAGGAGCAGGGGGGAAGCAAGGAGTGGGTGGGGAGCAACGGGGGGTTGGAGTGACCTCCCAGCCTGCTCTGCCCTCCCCAGCCTGCTCGGAGGCCTCCCAGGCAGCCTGAAGCTGGCAGCACTTGGGGTGCTGCACCCCCAGTCTGTCACCCCCCTCACCTGCCCCCCCCTCTCTGTCTCTGAGCAGGTTTGGATGCCTCTGCTCAAACCACCTCCCATGAACTCACCATTCCAAACGATGTGAGTATCCCAGGGGCGTCGGGGGGTGGAGGCATCATGGGCAGACAGCTACCCCTTGGCCCTGGGGGTCCCCAGAATCTGCCCCTCTTAACAAAAGGTCTGTGGGGGGCCTGTTCTCAGCTTTAAAGCTGCAACAGGCTTGTGGCTGCACTCCAAAGTGCCACCTCGGGCCACTCTGGCTGTCACCACATTCCTTATCCCCCTTCCAGTGAGCTTGAAGGCAGAAAACCCCTTTTTCAGCCTCTTAAACTCCCTCTTCCAACTCCTCAACCTCGTCCTCCCCCCCACACACACCAAGTAATCATCCAATCATGAGATTGTTAAGGTTGGAAAAGGCCTCTCAGGCCACCAAGTCCAACTGTTCCCCCAGCACGGTCAAGGCCACCACTGAACCATGTCCCCAAGGGCCACATCCACGTGATTTGGGACACCTCCAGGGACAGTGACCCCCCCACTGCCTTGAGCAGCCTGGGGCAGGAGCTGCACAATTCCCACGAAGGAATTTTCCCCAGTACCCAACCCTAGGAGAGATGCCAGGCAGGGGGGTGAGGAGGATGAGGGTTAATTAATTAATTAATTAATTAACTAACACCGCTGCTGCCTCCCCTCAGCTGATTGGCTGCATCATCGGGCGTCAGGGCGCCAAGATCAACGAGATCCGCCAGATGTCCGGGGCGCAGATCAAGATTGCCAACCCCGTGGAAGGATCTACTGACCGGCAGGTGACCATAACTGGATCTGCAGCGAGCATCAGCCTGGCCCAGTATCTAATTAATGTCAGGTGAGTCCCCGCTGACGAGGTTCCAGGGGGGTTCCCAGGCTCCCCTCCCCGTGCCCCGCATGAGGGGAAGGGGTTTTCTCCCTCCCACCCCGTGTTTTCCCCTGTTTCCTTTCCCCCTTCCCTGTGCCTGCTGCCCCAGTTTCCCCACTGCGATCGCCTCCGGGGCTGTGAGACGCTGCAGGGTGATGGATTTGGCTGGGAAAGCTCCGGCCGTGGGGCTGGGGGGAGTCTGTGGCCGCAGAAGGAGCCTCTTGGTGGTCTCTGCTGTTCCACTGCGGTGCTGAGGGGTGACAGGAGGGGCTCCCTGGCCCTGCTCCTGGGGATCCCGAGCATCCCAGCGGGATGCTGTCATCCCAGAGGGATGCTGTCATCCCAGAGAGTGGCTGGTGCTGCTGGCAGGGCCTGGCTCTGCTCTGGTGCCGTGGGTAGCAGTGGCAGGGCCTGGTCTCAGGCCACCCATGTCCCTGTGTCCCGTGTTCCCTGCCCCGAGCCAGGAGTTGCACTCTCCCTCCCCCAACTCCACATGGCCCAGAGGGGCTGGGGGTCCCTGGGGCCGTGTCCCTCATCTAGGGGTCCCTGGGGCCGTGTCCCTGCTCCATGGCAGAGCAGGAGCTGCCAGTGATTGTCTCTGGTTTTTGTCTCATTCCCTTCACGGTGCCCAGGGTGTGACCTCATGGCTGAGCCAGGCTCATTCCCGGGGTGGGCATGGGGGGTCCCCATATGTGGCTCAGCCAGGCCTGGCAGTGCCACTCCCCTCCCCTCTCCTCCCTCCTTCCCTCCCTGCCCTCCCTCCCCCTCCTCCAGCTCGGCTCCTGCGCCGTTTTTCGCTGTTTGTCCTGTGCTTTTTTTTTTTTTTTTTTTTTTTGTTTCGCATTTTGTGCCGTTCCTTCCCTCCCACCCACCCGTGTTTTGTTTTGGTTTTCTTTTTTATTTTTTTTTGTTTGTTTTTTTTGTTCCTTTTCTCCTCTGTTACAGTTTAGAAAGCGCTAAACCCTCCTCCCAGGCAGCCTCCGTCACGATCCCTGACCACCTCAGCATCAACCTCTCTCAACCCTCCACCCCTTCTTCTTCTTCCTCCTCTACCACCACCCCCTCGCTCGCCACCGCGGGGGCCTCCGACGCACCCTCCAGCCTCCCCAACCCTCTTCCGACCGCCCCTTGTGTCTCCAGTCTGCTTGGCATGAAACCTGTCCCTCTCCTGGCGCTAAATGTCGTGTCTGCGGCCAAAGGGGCCGCGGCGCCCGCCGTGCCCTGTGTCACTAACAAACTGAAAGCGGAGAAGCAGAGGTTTTCCCCTTACTGAGGCTGCTCGGGGGACCCACACAGGGGTGGCAGCACCGGGACCCTCTAGAGGAGACTTGGAACAGCAATTTTCTCTATTATCCTCTTTAGGTTTTTTTAATTTTTTTTCTCTTTTTTATTTTTTCTCTTTTTTATTTTTTTCTTTTTTATTTTTCTCTTTTTTATTTTTTCTCT